GACTGGCTCCCAACCACACGGTCAGGGGAACTTTCCTCCCCTAGGGGTATTCCTAGGGCCACGGAGTGTGTCCCCTGCTAGTTCAGAGGGTTGGCAAGGGAGGAGAGAGCCAAGCGTTGGTGTACTGTGTGCCTACTGTGGGCGGCTGCTCTTACATAGGATGGGGTGACAGCCTGACAATTGGGGTGACAGGGGCCCCAGAAGGGGCTAAACTCACTTAGGAATCCAGTTCTGTTCTTTGAGCCTTGTTTTCCCTATCTGTAGGGTGGGCGTGTATTCCCCAACTCCAGGTGGGAAGGAAGGGATTGTAGATGTAACCTGGTGATTAGCAGGCATGCAGTCAGTGGTAGCCTGTCGTTTGGGGAGCTCTGGCTGTGGGAGTTCCGGGGGTGATGCCTAGTTACCTCCTTAGAGGCAGAGGAGAACTTGTGTGGCTCCAGATGGACACACCTGTTTTTCCAGAAGCTTCCCAAACAGAGCTCCCCTCACACGTCACAGCCTGTCCTTAAAGCCACCCCCGCAGGGAAAAGGGATGGCCATGGTGGGCCCCTAGGGCTGCGTGTGGGAATGTGTCCCCAGGGTCACTTAGTGGAGGGTGGCTGCCTGAGTAGAACTGGGGTTCCTGCTGCACGAAGGGGGAAGGGTTGACGCTGAGGCAGACAGTAACACACATGGCTCTTCTCACCGAACTGCCACACACATCCTAGGGTTTGACAGCCCTGAGCTCTTGCTCGAAAAGGCAGCTGGCCCCTGGCATCCTCGGGGCGGAGTGGAGCAAGGGACTGAGTGGTGTGGCATCAGAGGCTGGGGCTGGGGACTGTCCTCCAGGATCTGGGAGCTCAGGCCCTGTGGGGGTTATCTGAGGAAGGCAGAGAGAGGTTATGTGCTGTCAGAGAAAGCCTACCTGCGGGCTGCATCAGTGATGTGCGTAAGCCTGAGGGGCTGTGGAAGGGCCTTCTACAGTGATCCGTGGCCCATGTAGACCCGTGTGGGAGAGAACAGTCGGCCCTAGCCTCAGCTCTCCACCTGCTCACAGCCCCTGCCAGGTATTCTGGGGGCGAACACAGCGATTCAGTCACTCACCCCGATAATGGGTGAGGTGTGGTGACAGGAGCCGCAGAAAAGGAAGTGGAGACTGTGCAGGCGAGAGTCAGGGTAAGGGGTGTGATTATTCTCCAGCAGCAGGGAGTCACTGATGGTTCTGAGCAGGGGGGCCTTCCACAGAAAAGATCTGGTGGCTGCCTGGGCATGGAATAGGGAGGAGATTCCAGAAGCAGCACAACCATAATTGCTGTCTCTCTAGGGATGCATTCGGTTGTAAAGTAATGGGCTTAAAACGAAGAGGGAATTTATTGGTTTGTTTAACTGGAAAATTCAGAGATAGACTGACCTTTAGGTTTGGCTGACTTTGGTGGCTTAATGATGGCACTGCAGAGTCAGTTTCTTTTGTCCCTCAGCTCTGTCTTCCCTGCTGTCAGCTTCACCCCAGGAGTGCCTGTCTCTCTGGGGACAACAACCTCAGAGCTCTCACTGGGGGAAGAGGGACTTGCTTCCAGGAAGTTCTCTCGAAGGAATGGAATGCTTTTTCTTCCAGAGCCCCCCAGAACTGCCTTCTCCTATTTTATTGGTCTGAAATGGATAGTTGGCCCATCTTTGAGCCAATAACCTTGGTGGCTTAGGTTAGGTCCCCGCCATGTGCCATGGCCGAAAATCAGGGTAGTTGCCAAGGAACAGGTGTATATGGTGTAGTGTCCTCTTCAAGGGGCTGCACGAGGGAGAGGTGAAGGCTGGGTTAGGGTGGTGGGAAGAAGAATGGAGAGGAGAGAGTCTCAGCACTGGTTTCGGGGGTGAGTGGGTAAAGGGGAACACACAGTGGCTTGCAGCTATGGGAGGGGGAAAGCCCATCAACATTCTCAGGAAAGGGATAATTCCTCTGTAATGGAGAGAATGGTTGTGGTACCATGAGCAAAAATGGAAAAGTCGAGAAAAAGAACAAGTCTGAGGAACGGCAATGAGTTCAGGTCCCTCACGTTGAAACGGAGGCACTGGTGGGCCATCCCGGTGGAGATGCTCACCTGAGATTAGATGTGTGAGCCTGGGCTCAGAGGAGAGGCCGAGGCCAGAGGGGTATGGAGGTTCTTGACAGAAGGGGGCCAGGATGGGACCCAAGGGAGCCCCAGCTTTTTGGATATGGGAGGACGAAGCAGAGGGCGTGAAAATGTGCCTGACAAAACCTTGCTGAAAATCCCTGTGATTGTTGTGCTATTCGAGCCCCAGTGACCGTGATGAGCCAGCACCGCCGTGTCAGCCTGCACACAGTGACTGAGCGCCTCTGCTGGGTCCCAGCCCCTGCGGAGATGCCCTGCCATAGAGAACTTGTCTCTGGCTCTGGTGTTCAGTATCAGAGCGTCCCTCCCTCATTCCTCAGCTACTCCCTGGACGCCTGTAGGAACACCTGTCCCAGGTGCTGTGTGGGGTGTGCAGACTCCATCGTGAACACGAGCTAGACCTTGAGCTGAGGCCTGTGTCCACAGTCAGATGGGACGCTCTCCAGCAGTGAAAACCATGTCTCCCTCTGTCCTTGACATTGATTCTAGCTGCTACTACCAGGAGGGTGGGCTCTGGATAACGTAGCCCTGTTTTCAACATTTCCTGATACAGACAACTGGTGAGTTTTGTCCATGGGCTCTTTTGTGTCCTGAGCCAACAGCCAACTCTGGCACCGTCCCCCTTCCTTCCCAGCACCCCGTGTCATTCTAAACTTGCCACATCCGGGCTACTTCATCCCCCCAGTCCTGCACCTGTGGCTACTTGTACCTTGCTCGGGACCCCGCCTTCCATGAACTAATGTCATCTTCCGCCTTCAGTCACATGTCTGTTGGATGGATGAGTGAAACGGAAGGAGAGACGCTGACCCCATCAGTCTGGGGGGTCTCTGCTCTCCCAGTTTCCATGGTGTGCGCCTGCTCTGCCACTCTCTGGCGCATCAGGACCAACCTGGAGCATGGCCTCTCCTGTAGTCTTGGGCTCCTGTGTTAATAGTAATTCATAAGGGTGCCTGGGTGGCTCCATCTTTAAGCATCTGCCTTCAGCTCAGGTCATGATCCTGGGGTCCTGTGATGGAGCTGCGTCAAGCTACCCACTCAGCGGGAAGTCTGCTTATCCTTCTGCCTCTTCCCCCACCCACAAGTGTTTTCTCTTTCTTAAATAAATAAATAAAATATTTAATACATACATAAATAAAATCTTAAAAAAATAATAATAATAATAATTAGCGAACACTATAGACCAGGCACTGTACCATGCCTTTGACATGCCAGACCTCATTTCATCCCCAGAAAGAATCTGTGAAGTAGCTATTGCTTTTATCCTGGTTTTACGGATGCAAAATCAAGGTTCAGAAAGACCAGTTACCTTGCGCAAGGTACACAGAGCCAGCGTGTGGGGTTCAGAATTGGACCCAGCCTGACTGGTATCAGGACCTCAACTCAGAACCAATACCTAGAGCATCTCAAAGTTTGTCTCAGCATGGCTGCTTTGGACTCACCTGGGGTGCTTATTGAAAATCCAGACTCCTGGGGCGCCTGGGTGGTTCCGTCGGTTAAGCGTCTGCCTTGGGCTCAGATCATGATCCCAGCATCCTGGGATTGAGTCCCTGGGATCCCTGCTCAGCAGGGAGCCTGCTTCTCCTTCTATCTTTGCATGCTACTCCCCCTGCTTGTGCTCTTTCTGTCAAACAAAATAAATAAAATCTTTTTTTTTAAGATTTTATTTATTTATTTCATAGAGAGGGGCACCTGGGTGGCTCAGTGGGTTAAAGCCTCTGCCTTCGGCTCAGATCATGATCCCAGGGTCCTGGGATCGATCCCCGCATCGGGCTCTCTGCTCAGCAGGGAGCCTGCTTCCTCCTCTCTCTCTCTCTGCCTGCCTCTCTGCCTACTTGTGATCTCTGTCTGTCAAATAAATAAATAAAATCTTTAAAAAAAAAGACTTAAAAAATTAATCTTTATTTATTTCACAGAGAGAGAGAGATCACAAGCAGGCAGAGAGGCAGGCAGAGGGAGAGGGGGGAAGCAGGCTCTCCGCTGAGCAGAGAGCCCGATGCAGGGCTCGATCCCAGGACCCTGGGATTATGACCTGAGCCAAAGGCAGCAGCTCAACCGTCTGAGCCACCCAGGCGTCCTCTAATGCCTGCTTCTATTGGACTCTAAGGCTCGAGAACTGTGCCCCGTGTGCTTACCCACCCTCCTGCTTAAAAAAATTTCTGGTTTTATTGGTGAGCTTTTTCTTACATATAAAGGAGTATATAATATCGTCATGTGTGGTTCAAAGGATAATTGCAAAGTGAGCCCGCATGGACAACCACCCAAGTTAAAAAAAAATCAGCGCCTTAGCAACCCCTCTGGAGACCCTCCCTGCACCCCACCCCCACCCCCACAGCGGTGGGCCTTTCCCTGTCTTACAGGTAACAAGTCTAAGAGAATAGTTAGTGATCATCTTCCCTTGCTTTTTCTTTATAACTTCTTCCCTAAGGGTTCATCCCTTGACAATGAGAATTTTGTCTGTGAACCTTCCATAAACCATCTGTGTTTTGTGAATTCTAGTGCATCTGCTCCTTTGGCTCCAACGAGCCTCGGTGAGATCCATCCCTGTTGATACGTGTAGTGGAGGGTTCCATGTCTTGCTTCCACAGTGTCCTTTGAAGAGCCAGTATTTTATGCTTGTTTATACCATCGAGAGTTCCCTGCCTGGGGTTGGAAACACAGCAGTGGCTCAGTGACTGTCTATTGTCAGCACTGGGGCAGGAAGCCCCCGAGTGGCAGTGCGAGAAGGATGTGGAGAGCCCTCAGGAGGAAGTGCCCTGCCAGGGCAGGGGTGGGGGAGACCCCACAGGTGCTCTGCCTCCCCTCTTGCCATCCTCTGTCTGCCTGTGGCTCTTCCGGCATGGGCAGTCTGGGTCTCCAGCTCCCTAGAAAACTAATTCTCATGTCTGGGTCCAGTTTCAGGATGCCGAACTGGGGAGGAGGCAAGAAATGTGGGGTGTGCCAGAAGACGGTTTACTTTGCGGAAGAGGTTCAGTGCGAAGGCAGCAGCTTCCATAAATCCTGCTTCCTGTGCAGTGAGTATGCGCCCAAGGCCCAGCTGCTGTTGCCATGGGAATGGGGACAGGGGCCTGTCCCCACAGGCTGGGCCTGTCAACACCCCAGGGGAAGGGCCCCATGGGATGTAAACAGCTTGACATTTGGCTGCAGCACAGCTGGGGCGGGAAACACTTACAGGCCTCTTTGTTCCGCTCAGAAGCTGCTTTCTAAGGGGAGGAACTGGCCAGAGCTGGTGGGGGTGGCAGCCGCTCCAGGGTGGCCAGGAGCCAAACTTCCAGACTTGCTTAGGGAAACTTTCCACTCCCCTTTCTCTTTCTCTCCCTGCCACAATGCCATCATTTAAGAGGAAGCCACTTTGGGTCCCGAGTTTTACCAAATTTGGACCCAAATGATCCCTTGTTGAAGGGTGACAGAGGCTATTACTTTAACGGGACACGGAGCCCAGAGAAGGAGCGGGGTTCTCTCTTCTTTCGCCCTATGGGCCAGCCTGGTCACTTCCCTCACCTCCCCTTTTGCTCCAGCAGCCTGGGATAAGAGGAAGATGAGCAAGCAAAGCTTTGACATCCCCCCCAGTAACCCGGAGCAGGAGTGGCTCGAAACACAAGCCCAGACAGTAGGAAACGGGGCAACAGACAGCAAGCAGCTGGGAGTCGTCAGGTGGTTCCGGGGGTCCTTGACCTGGACAGTGTTTTCAGAGCCCCCAGGAAGCGGTGCCTCCAGGAGGATCCTCTCCCCCATTTCTAAATGATCTGATGCACTGTGGTCAGAGCGGAGGGTTCTGGTCAGAGGAAGAGTTTTCCGTGAGGGCGGGCAGAGTGGGAGGCAGGGGGATGTCTCAGTGAAGACCTGGGTTTCTGGATCCAGTGGGTCAGGGTTTGAATCTGAATTCGGGTTTGGGGATCTGCATGCTGATGGGCAAATTACTTGGTTTCTTTCTTTCTTTCTTTTTTTTTTAGATTTTATTTACTTATTTGATAGATAGAGATCACATCTAGGCAGAGAGGAGGAAGCAGGCTCCCTGCTGAGCAGAGAGCCCGATGCGGGGATCGATTCCAGGACCCTGGGATCATGACCTGAGCCGAAGGCAGAGGCTTTAACCCACTGAGCCACCCAGGCGCCCCAAGTTACTTGGTTTCTCCCTGGTTGAGTTTTCTCACGATTACAGGGGAGTTAGTAATACTCACTTCATAGGGTGTTGTGAGAATGAGCAGAAAGAAGCTTGGAAAATGAAGTACTTAAAACTCAATTCTGAATGTCCGATAAATGATAGACACCGCCCTGGACACACATGCGTGCACGTGCACACACATATGCGCGCGCACACACGCACAGATACACACGAAGGCACAAGCTGCTGAGGGAGCTGCAGGCCACACGGTGCCGTGACATGAAGGAGGCCTCCTAGCCCATCTGAGAGATCCAGAAAACGGGGTCCCGTCCATCCCATGTCACATGAAGCAGAGTTGGGAGTGTCCGTGGCCGCTTTGTTCCCCGGTGATTTGTGGTCCTGAGTAGGAACAGATGGACCAAGGGTTACCTGGTCCCTGGATGTTCCCCACAGCTCCACCTGCTGCAGGGCCACCCAGCTGGGAGCCACCCAGCACAGGGCAGCAGGGCCCCCCCTCCCCGCCCCGGCCTTGCACCCTGAGCAGCCAGCCGGAGTGGCCACCCAGGGGCTGCATCTGGTGAACAGGAGTGAGTGAGCCCCAGCGGGGCCTTGTTGGCCTGTAGCCCACAGAGGAGGCCGCCGACAGCAGCCTCTTGTTATCAGCAGTTAACTGCACTTAGGAATTTTCCAGCCGTTTATTTTTTCAAAGGGCTCAGCATTGGCTAGGAAGAGGGTCCGGGCTGCTGGGGTCCATAGGGCTTCTGCCTTTGCTCTCCCATGTTGCTTAATCACTACAAGGGGCCGCAGCTGAGAGGCCTCAGTCATGCTTGAGGAGGAGTGGCGGTTGGTCGTGGTTGGGGGAAGGCAGGAATTCAGGGGGTGGCATAGGAAGAAGGGAGCAGGCCTGGGGCAGGGTGTGAGGGGGTGTGGAGGATTAGAAACACTTGTGGAAAGTCAGGCCGGGGAGCAGGGCCAGGGTGGGGGGAGGTGTTACGAAAGTAACAGCCATAGGGAAGGGTCTCGAGTCTCCCTGGGGGCTCTAGGCCAGTACGGTTCCTGGGTGTCCGAGCTCAGACATGTCCCCGCAACCAGGTGTCTCCACAACTGGCTGATTCCTGGTGTCAGAGGCTCTGAGCACACAGCCGGCTGTTGCTGATTTGTTTACGAATGGAGGGAACATCCTTTCCCTATTTCAGAGGAGTGGGTGGTAACTGTCCAGCTTGAATTTAAAAATTCAGAATGAGGGCACCTGGGTGGCTCAGTGGGTTAAGCCTCTGCCTTTGGCTCAGGTCATGATCTCAGGATCCTGGGATCGAGTCCCACATCGGGCTCCCTGCTCAGCAGGGAGCCTGCTTTCCCCTTCCCCCTCTCCCTCTGCTGCTCCCCCCACTTGTGCTCTCTCTCCTTCTCTCACTCTCTGTCAAATAAATAAATTCTTTAAAAAAAAAAAAATTCAGAATGACCCTGATAATCAAAGGACGTTCCTTCCTAAGTTTCTTCGGAAGGCTCTTCCCTTCCTAAGGCTCGCAGAGAATGGGCCTGGGCGGCATTCCGGCCCTAGTCCCTTTGCTGGCTGGGCCTCTTACCATTCGGGTCCTTGGCTCTGGCTTCTCGTCAGCAGGGACCTACATTCCCTTTCCTGAGTGACTGGCACAGACAGGTGAAGACGGGATGAGGTAACCCAGTCAGGGAGAATGGCCTCTGCCCTGGGCTTGGCCTTCGACCTGGAATCGGGAACAGAGAGGTCCTGCAGTCCAGTCCCGTGGTCTCAGCAGGGGCGGCCAGCTCCTGATGGAAAGGTAGATGCGCTGTTTTCCAGAACCTCAGAGTGCAGGGGAAGCTCAGAGAAGCCCTGCACGCCCTCTGACCCCAGCATCTCCTCACCCACAGGCTCAAGTTTGCTGTCAGTTTTTCACCCTCTTTGCCCCACAGGCTTGGTCTACCTGAAAGGGACCTTGGGCCGGCAGAAAACAACCAGGTCTGGGAATCACGCTTGGTTCTGACCTGGCCCAATTCTGTGAGCTTGAACTTTTTTGTGGGGCTCGCTTTTCCTTCCAGAGGAATCCCTCTCTGTTTTGGGGTGGGGTGAGGGGGCTCCGACCTCTCGCCTGGGACTGCCTCTTGCCCATATTTCAAAATAACATCAGAAGGCCTCACCAAGCCTGTGGCGTCTAGAAGGACATTTGTCCAACAAATGCATAACTAACCATACCTAAGACCTTTTTTTTTTTTTTTTAATCTTAACATTATTTGGTAGCAGTTTATTTAGGACTTCATTCAAAATTCCCCTCAGTCGGGTCTTCAGTAGAACCTCCAGGTGACCAGACTACATTACCTGGACGGAGGTGGAAGGGCGGCGGGCCTGGGGAAGGTGTTGAAGGGGGGCCGTGGTGGGCAGGAGGGCCTGGGGGAGGCCAGAAGCTGACAGGGTGGTCTGGACATGGGATCTGGAAGTCAGGGCTCGGTTGGCACTGTCAGGAGCCATCTGGAGGTTAATGACTTGTAGGCCCTGCTGTCTCTTCTGGGCCAAGCTCCTGGGTCTCCAAAAGAGACCTCTGTTTCCCCAACTCCTCTTGTCGCTGCTTTCTGCCTTCCCTCTGGTTTTGGAATTTCCAGTTCAACTTGGGCCTTATGGGAAGCAATTCCAGGCCAACTCCTGACTTCCCGCCCTAGAAGGGAATGTTGGAGCCCTTGGCCTGTTGTTCCCTCTCCCTCCTTCCCGGGAGCCAAGCCCCAGGGGAGGTGGTGGGAAGTTCCATATTTGGGCTGCCCAGAACACTGGAATGAGGTGAGGATCTCAAGGGCAGGACTAGAGGGTCCTTATTTAGTCTGAAGTCTGCAACCTGGGGCTCAGGGTGAGAGGAGCTGGCAGAGGGCCCGACCCATTAAAGGCAAGAGGATGGCTAGTTGCAAAGAGCTGAGCTGAGAGCCTTCTCAGGGGGAGGTGCGAGGCGTGGCTTCTCTAGTGGTTTCTCGAGGGGTCCCTCTTCAGAAGGACATGTTTGAGGATGTGGTCCAGTTGGGCACCCCCTATCTCCATATGGAAGGAATATCATAGAACCAAATTGGGATTCTAGGATAAGACATAAGCAGGTAGAGTGAGGACGAGTCTCGAGAGAAGTAGGTGGGGGCTGGGAGCATATGATCTTTTGAGGCCTGGGCCTGTTCTTCCTCCTTCCTTGTGTCCTCGAGATACTAACTTTACATAATGCTAATAAGAGTGGCCAACATTTATTATGCATCTACTGTGTGCAGGGTATTGTGCTAAGTACTTTACATGTAAGATCTTATTTAGTTCTCCCAACCACTTTTTGGGGTAGATATTATTGTCTGCATTTACAAAAGGGGAGACACGGAGGGGCGCCTGGCTGGCTCAGTTGGTAGAGCATGCAACGCTTGATCTTGGGGTTGTGAGTTCGAGCCCCATGCTGGGTGTAGAGATTGCTTAAAAAAAAAAAAAATTAAAAACAAAACAAAAAAACCCAAAAAGGACCAAATGGAGACGTGGAGGCTAGAAAGGCAAAATAACTTACCCATCACACAGAAGTCACATAGCTGGAAAGAAAGAGTTGAGATTTGATTCTGAGCAGTCTCACTGCACGTGACTCCAGGCTCCAAACCATTTCACTCTGGATGGCTGGGCATAGGCCCCCGGACAAGCCCAGGAAGGTATATGGGACTCACAGGCTTTCCAAAGCTCATCCCCTCCTAGCTGCTCATCCCCCAGGAGTCAGGAATTCTTCTGAGTCTGGCCTCGGTTCTTCCTATGGCGAGCTGGTTCGGAGATCAGAGCCTCCAGATCTTGGTGTAATTAGCATGAACTGCATCTCATTTCAAGGCCCATCGTGCTGGGTACTTGATAAATATGCAACTTTTCTTTTCTTCTGCGTGCATCGCTTCACCTGCCACCCGACCCCATCGGTCCTGCACTCCCCCCCACCCTCCCACCGGCACGCAGGGATTGTTTCTTCAGGATTCCATTGTCAGAGGCAGGAAATCCCGGCCCTTCTTCTTTCCGTTGTTTTTCTTCTCTCCTATTGGACACGTGGTCTCTGTTGAGCAGAGCCAAAGGCCTCAGTAGGTTTCCCGTGGCTTAGGATCAGCTAGTCTGTCACCTCAGATGAACTGTGGGGCGCACTACAGCCTGGCGAGGTGTGAGGGTGGAGGGGACGGAGGAAGGCGAGTGTGGGCTCTTGTGAGAGGTGGCTCGGCCGGCATTCCTAGAATGGGGCCACGCAAACCCCCTCCCTCCCTCTTCCCAGCTCCTTGGCCATCTGACTTCCATTTCCATGCTGCTCCTGGAAGACCGGGGTCTGGAGAGTTTCAGCCGTGGGGGGCTTGGGGGACAAGCAGCTCACCCCGATGTCAGCTCACTGTCCTCCCTTCCCTCCCCAGTGGTCTGCAAGAAGAATCTGGACAGCACCACTGTGGCTGTGCACGGCGAGGAGATCTACTGCAAGTCTTGTTACGGCAAGAAGTACGGCCCCAAAGGCTACGGCTACGGGCAGGGCGCCGGCACACTGAGCACCGACAAGGGGGAGTCTCTGGGCATTAAGCACGAGGAGTGAGTACAAGACTCTTGCTGCCCCCTTCTCGAGGTCTGTCCTCCCACCCCAGTGTCACACACATTTGCAACCACTTTTGGTTCAGCCATTGAAAGACTCAGAAAGCCATTGATTTCCAGGGAAGTCCTATAGTGGCCCACTGGGTGTCGGGCCAACGAGAGGAGCCGAGGGTCCACTGGGGAATAAAACAGGTGTGGTTCCTCCCCGTGTGGAGAGTGCAGCCCATGTTTTCATAGGGGTTAGAGCCTAGAGGGGCCCCAAGAATCACTCGGTCCAATGAGATGAGAATCCCCAGCCCAGGCTCAGTGGCTTGACTGGGGATTTCATGGGTGCTGAGCTGGGCTCAGCAGTAGCAGCACTGGCCCACCCGCCTCTTTCTCTCGCCATCTCTCACCCCTGCACTATGGGGCAGCCATCTCCCTTCCTTGGAAATATAGCAGGGTTTCACTGGCACTCACTAACCTCTGACCTGTTGAAAGAGTGGCTTTTGGCAGTCTGCCTGGCCAGCATCTTGACCTTGGGGAGAATGGGCAGAAATGACAGATGAGTGAGCACATTTTAGCCAAGGTCATTGCCCGAGAGGGAATGATTTGTCAGCAGATTTCTCCTGGAAAGAATCTAACAGGCCGGCTGCAGGAACGGGAAACAGAGGAGGGCAATTCTTAGCAAATGAGCTGCTCACTGATGCCCGTGTTTTAACTCCGTGGCAGGAGGCAGTAGATTGCTTCGGGGAAATCAGCATTTTGCTGAGCCGGGGTCTGTCCATCTGTAAAATGGGAGAGGACCCTGGAGGCTCTGGCTGGGAGAGTCGCCCCCTAGTGGGCATGAGATGAAGGCGGGGTTGTGCCCACACAGGGCCAGCCCCACTCGACCCCCTCCATGAAAGTGGGCTCACGGCATGTCGTTGCCCATGCAGGGCCCCTGGCCACAGGCCCACCACCAACCCCAATGCCTCCAAGTTTGCGCAGAAGATTGGCAGCTCCGAGAGGTGCCCTCGATGCAGCCAGGCAGTCTATGCGGCTGAGAAGGTGATCGGTGCCGGGAAGGTAAGGTGGCTTCTGGGGAGATGGGCTCAGGGGAGAAGGGCTGGAGAAACACCTTCTTGAAATGTGGGTTCCAGGACTTTGTATGTTGGGCCCTGGATCTGATCAAGGGAGACTGAGCACTGGGCTTTAACTCCCTCCCTTCTAGGGAAGGAGTAACCCTTTGTCCCCATGGGCTGCTTGTACCTCTGGCTTCCTGTCTGCAAGGACTGAAGAAGTCACACATGGGCTCCGGGGACAGGTGGCTTGGCCAACATTCTTCATGAGGATAACAGGCCCGCCGTTGATGAAACTGATTATTAAATGCTTAAATGCGATTTATAGGGTGTTGTAAAGATCAATCTGTTGGGTTTCAAAGGAGCCACAAAATTTTGTGGGAACATGTCTCTTTCTGGGAAGAAGATCAACAGTTTTCATCAGATTTTCAAAAGGATTTGTGATCCCCCAAATGTTGAGAGCCACTGGAAAATCCACATACATTCCATATTGTAAGACCTGGTCTGTGGGAAACCCATCCATGTACCCCTAGGGCAGAGGTTTTTTAAGATTCAGGGCAGATCAGAGCCTCCCAGGAAGCTTTTGCAAACTATTTGTGACTGCCAAGTATGCCTTTCCCCTGTGGACCCCCAACCCCAGAGCACAGTAAGAGTCACAGTACCAAGCCCCCGTCCCGGTGAAACCCTGCCTCCCAGAGAGGCTGCAGTGGAGAAGAAGCAGGAGAAATGGCAGTCCCAGACTAGCGGTCAGAGAATCATGGAAGAAGCATCCTCAGTCTGTGGCCGGAGAGACCCAGACGGAGGAGTGACTCGGCTAAAGTCACATAGCAAGCATCAGGAACAGCTGGGCCAGGAACCTGTCTGCAGCTCTTCTGGCTTTGGGTGACGGCTTTCAAGTCTTCTCCACCTTGAGGAAGGGGCCCACGACCAATGGACGGGGAATTGACACTTAAGCCAGATCATCTAGACCATAGCAAGCTCTTATTGTAGTCTTTACAGTCATGGTTGGAGTAGGTACTATTATCCCCATTTTACAGGTGAGGAAGCTGAGTGTCAGAGGCATTAACTTAATTTGCCCAGATCTTCCAGCTAGGCAGTGGCTAGGCTAGGAGTCAAGCCCAGGTCCCTCTAACTTGGAAGCCTGTGCTCTTACCACTCTTAACTCTGCTTCAGGCCTCTTAACCTCTTTGAACCCATTTCCACAGCTGTACAATGGGAAATGAGAACCCATTTCCATAGCTTCATGAATCCTGGAACCATGACTAAGACCGTGGACCCTAGGGGTGCCTGGGTGGCTCAGTCAGTTAGGTGTCTGACTCTTGGTTTTGGGTCAGGTCATGGTTTAAGGGTCATGCGATCAGCCTACATCGGTCCCCGCACTCAGTGGAAGTCTGCTTAGGATTCTCTCTCTCTCCTTCTGCCCGTCCCCCTGCTTACGCTCTGTTTCAAATACATAAGATCTTCAAAAGACTATAAAAAAAAAAAAAAAGACCTTGGACCCTAGAGAACCCTTAGTTTTGCCACTTACTAGTTGTGTGGCTTTGGGGGCAAATCACTGAACCTTTCTAAACCTTCCATCTGCGTCTGTAAAGTGAAGCAAATGGCCATCCCATCAGACAAAGCTGTTTTGCGGAAGAAAGGAGAGACTGTTCTGGGGTCCCCAGGGCAGCTCCCCCCGGGGTGTGCTTAGGACACTTTGCCATTGCTGTTACTGTTGGTGCTATTATTACTGTTACTGTGTACTTTGGGGAATTCTTGTGAGGTCAAAATGATGGTCCTTGCCATGAATTAAGTGATATGAAAGCGGGAGATACTAATCTTACTTTGCAGTTGGTATCTTTTGTGCTCATTGTGTCTCACTAGGAGATCCGAAAGTTATAAAAAATAGCTGAGTATCCCTGTGTCCATTACCCAGACAGGGTCTAAGTTAAGCCTGTAACTCCTGAGGGGTGGGGATAAGAGAATTTTGTATTCAAGTGGAAAAGGTCGGGAGAAGCTCCCACCTCTCTTTGGCCTTGGCCAGGAAAGAAATATCGAGGAACGAGGTGCTTTTGGGTGCTGAATGAGTGAGCAAAGGGATCCAGGGTGTGTGGAGGGACGGCAAGGCCCCGTGAGGCGTGGGTGGGGGCCCGCGTGCACTTCAGCCCTGCCCCAGCCTGGAGAGCTGGTGTAGCAGCTCCTGCTCCACAGAGGAGGAGGCGAAGACTGGGACAGAGACGGAGATCTGGCCCCCCGCCACCTCAGCTCTCCAGACCCCACTGTCCCTGAGGCCTGGGAGGAGGAGCCAGCGTGCATGGGTCAGGCGGCCAGGAAGTCTGAGGGGATGCAACTTCCTTTCTCATTCTCCAGCCCGGCAATGCTGAGGGAGTCTCTTTGACCTTAAAAGGCCTTGTTTTGTCTGGCCTGCGTGCTGCCTGCCCCTGGCTTTCTTGGTTTTGCAGAGCTGTCCGTACAGCAGCGGCGTAGCCGGCTCAGTGTTGCTAATGGGAGCGGCGTGCTGAGAATTCTTCATGTCTGGGCTGGCTCCCGTCACTGTGGGCAAACCCGGGCCCGCTCCTTCCCCAGCAGGGTCTCAGCCCTGTGTTGCTTCCAGGCTCGTCTTAGAACCCCAAAGGGCCTTCTGTGGCCCCTGGAGAAGCTGCACTCCTCAGGCCTTCCCCTGCTGGGTTCAGTGCCCTTCACAGAGCCCTTCTCCTTCCAGAGTAATATTCCACACGATGGCCTCAGGGCCTCCTCTGGGCCCCGGCCTGTGCCGGGCTTCTTAACCTGCCAGAGCTGCCTAATACCAGCAGACCACTCTGTGAGAGGGAGTGGCTTCCGGGCAAACAAGGAGCCCAGTTCTGGAACAAATCCCAGTTACAACAGCCCTCGCCGTGCCCTGGCACTGTCCGCGTGTATATGCGCATCTCGGGCCCATCATGCGAGGTGGGCACAGGGGTCTCCCAGAGGAGGAAATGGTGGAGGCTCTGCGGGTAGTAGTTAGCCGTGCCAGGACGAGTCCGAATCCCATGCCCACACCTCCGATCCACAGGCAGGATGGGCCTGGAGAAGGCCTGTGCCAGCCTGTGGGGGGACAGCTACCACGGTGGCCGTGCCACCCCCTCGCCTGCCCTTTGTGGCAGAGCTGGTGCCATTAACCATCCAGCCATAGCGACACGTGTTTGGAGATGGTATGAGGTCTTGCGTGGTCTGTGACCTACTTCCTCCACTGCCTGACCCCACGGGCCACGTCCTCCCACAGTACCAGCTGAGCAGACTTCGGAAGTGTCTCGAACCCTTCCACTGTTCTTACGTCAAGGGGAATGGGGCTGTGGGGTCAGGGATGCCCTCGTCCCTGGTGGCAGCCTTAACTGTTCCCTTCCCACCACAGTCCTGGCATAAGTCCTGCTTCCGGTGTGCCAAGTGCGGCAAAGGCCTCGAGTCCACCACCCTGGCCGACAAGGATGGCGAGATTTACTGCAAAGGTGGGTGGTGTCACCTCTAATGCGAGGGTTGAGCAGTCTGAGGGGGTAGAGGGCTAACTAGTTATGCCCTTGCTTAATGTAAACTGATTCCTGCCCTTGGGGTCAATGCCAGAGCTTCTAGTGTGACCCTTCACTTTACAGATGGGGAGACAAGCCCGGAGGGGAAAGATGCCTTGGCCAGAATCATAGGGCAGATACGGGCAGGATGGGGCCAGAGCCTGGGTTCCCAACTCCTCGCCGGATGCCTTGACGGCAGATAGGGCTTCTCCTGTAATTTCAGCAGCAGGGAAGTGGATATAAGGATATAATGTGGAGCCAAGGACCTCCTCACTACTGGGGACTGGGGTGCTACAGAGGTTACGGGCGCCGAGTGGATTTTGCTGCCCTGAAGGCCTGGCCAGGTGCCCAGGGTGGAGGATCTTCGGTGGGAGGGCACTGGGAGGTGTGGCCTGGGGGAGAAGGAACTGGGACTCACCCCTTCTCTCTTCGCAGGATGCTACGCGAAAAACTTCGGACCCAAGGGCTTTGGCTTTGGGCAAGGAGCTGGGGCTTTGGTCCACTCTGAGTGAGGCTGCCGCCATCCACCACACACTGCCCACTCCCGTGCTTCTCATCGCCGTTCCTTTCCCAGCAGCCTTGGCAACCTCCTGGATTCCTCCTCCCTCTCAGCCCCGCCACGCATCACTAATGACTTGAACTTGGGTGTTTGGCTCCCTTTGGTTTGGAGTCTGCCTGAGATCCCACTCCTCTAAAGGGCTCCCTCTGCCTGGGACGTGACACCATCACCAGCAGGAGACCTCAGTGTTTTAGTGCAGGTGGGACTGGGCCCATCTCCCCACACCCTGCCCCACAGTCTTCTGTTCTTAGCCTGTTAGGCTGAGTGTCCATCATCAACTTGCCAAGATCCGTGAGCCCACGTCTCGGATCCCAGAGGAGCAGTAGTCCCGGGGGAGAGGGAAGCAGGACCAAGATGGGGCAGAGGAAGCTGGTGGTTCATTAGACCTGAGATTCTCTTTTGCGGGTAAGAGGGTAGGCTTCTTGGTGTCCCTCAGGATAGGCCTGGGGAGTTCCAGTTGGGGAGTCTCTGTGGATGCAGAGGGCACACAGACAGGGCCATGGACTGTAGAGGCCACTTGCCTCTCTGGGCCTCTTCCCTTTGAGGTTCTAGGGACCTGGTGTCCTTCCCCTCGGGGTGAGGAAAACAGCCCAGGTCTGAGGACCCAAAGTCAGGGTGTGGTCTGACCTCCCCAGGCGTCAAGTTCCTTGTTTGGCGGGGGCCCCAGTGAAACACATCCCAACACACTTTCATATAACAGTGGCCCAAACCTGAGGGTAAATAGCTCTGCCCCTAACCCCGGTCCCGGGGCTGTGGTGGCAGCTCCTCCCCGTCCCAGCACAGACCAGGCCAGTGCTCTGTTCCTGCCACTCCTGCTTGACCCTTAAGAGTTGGAGGGAGGCACACACGGCCTCAGTCTTCATCTGGACACTGCTTGCCTATGTGCCCGGTCCTCAGGACCTGCCTGCCCACTCGGGACCTTACCCTGGCCACTCTGCCCTTCTCTGGCCACATCACCCCCCAACCCTTCCAGGCCCCAGGTGAGGAGCAGCAGGAGGAAGGGGAGGGGCTGGGCCTCGCTGCTGCCAGTGACTGAAAGGACTACCGTATGCGGAGGAGTCACCTGGAAGGGCTGCAGGCACGAGCTGTGTTCAAGCTGACTTCTCACCTGGTCAATAAAAGTCTTAGAACAGAACTCTGGTGTCTGGATCCCGTGTCTGTGAGAGTACAGCTAACCACCCGGCTGGGAGGGAGCTTTCCTGGAGCCATCAAATTAGCAGAAGTTCAGGTGGAAATTGATACGATTTGTTCCTGTTTTTCTAAGCGCTGCTTACATTCTAGATCCGTTCTAACCTAACCATGCTGCCCCGAATGACGACTTGACCAGCCCAATCCCACTGCTTTGCTGGCAGTGGCAGCAAGCCGACTGCTGGCAGTCCCGACTCCTACATCTGGGTGTGAAAACTATGTGAATTTTGGGATTTGAGGGGCTCAGCGAGGCCCCAAAGCTGTGCTCAGAACGTCTCCCAGCTTGGAAAACCCCAGAGTGGGAGGGAAACTCAGCCAGAGGAACTTCCATGTCACACCTAGAAAGTTTACTTCTGTCCAGGAGGGATGGAGTGGAGGGGCCCAGCTCAGCATGCTGCGTGGTCCCGGCCCTGGCTGAGTCTATCCTGACTGCTCTAACAATACCATGGACTGGTGGCTTATAAACAACAGAGACATATTTCTCATTGTTCTGGAGGCTCGGAAGTCCACAATCATAATGCTGGCAGATTTGGTGTCTGGTAAGGGCCTGCTTTCGTAGTTTATAGCCAGCCACCTTGCTGCTGTGTCCTCACATGGCAGAAGAGACAAAGGAGCTCCCAGGAGCCTCTTTTATGAAAGCACCAATTCCATTCTTGAGGTCTTTTGTCCTTATGGCTTCATCAGCTCCCAGAAATCCTTCCTCCTAATGCCATCACATTGGGGATAGGTTTCACCAGATACATTTGTGGGGGGGGGGCACAAAATTCAGTCTATAGCATTCTGCCCCTGAACCCCCAAATTCATGTCCTTTTCACATGCAAAATACATCCATTCCATCCCAATCACCCGAAAGCCTCATCTCGTTCCAGCATCAACTTCAAGTCTAAGCCCAAAACCTCACTGAGTTTCATCTACAGCAGATACAGGGGAAGACTCCAAGTACGAGTTATTACAGGCCAATTTCCTCCCCAGCCATGAACTTGGGAAAAAACACATTCTGTGCTTCTCAAATACAATGGTGGTGTTAGAGGATTTTTTTCCCTTTATTGCCCACAGGTCTTGGTCACACTGCTTTGAAACACAAAGAGGTAGACCAGAGGAAGAGTGGTGGGCAGCAAAGCAGGTTTATTGCGTGACGGTACAGAGCTCCCAAAGAGGGAGGGGACCTTGAGAGGGTTGCCGATTTGGCCTTTAGGTCTAGGGGTTTTTACAGCTTGTGGGCAGACTGTTAATCTGATTACTCATTCTTGCGCCTGTCACCCAATCAGGTTTGTATCCTCTACCTATCATGTGGGAAAGGGCGGAGGGCTCCTTCCACGCGGTGTAAAATCCTTTTAAGGGTGGTTTCCTCTTAGGGCAGGAGCCCCTTGTCCCTGCCTATCCTCCATTAGTGGGACACACTAAACAGTGGAACACACGTAGGATAAACAGTTCCTTTTTTTTTAAGTTTTGTTTTGTTTTGTTTTAAAGTAATCTCTACACCCAACGTGGGGCGTGAATTTACAACCCAAGGTCAAGAGTTGCATGTTCAATGGACTGAGCCAGCCAGGCACCTCAGATAGACATTAAAAAAAAATTTTTTTTTTTTTAAAAAGGGGTGCCTGGGTGGCTCAGTGGGTTAAGTCTCTGCCTTTGGCTCAGGTCATGATCTCAGGGTCCTGGTATCGAGCCCCGCATTGGGCTCTCAGGGAGCCTGCTTTCCCCCACCCTCTGCCTGCTTCTCTGCCTACTTGTGATTTCTGTCTATCAAATAAATAAAATCTTTTTAAAAAAAATTTTTTTTAAAAAAGATTTTATTTATTTACTTGAGACAGAGTGAGAAAGAGAGAGCATGAGAGGGGAGAGGGTCAGAGGGAGAAGCGGACTCTCCGCTGAGCAGGGAGCATGATTCGGGACTCGATCCCGAGACTCCAGGATCATGACCTGAGCCGAAGGCAGTCGTTCCACAAACTGAGCCACCCAGGCGCCCTCAGACATTTTAGACATTTTAGACATTTCCAGTCTAAAAGGGAGAAATAGGAGAGAAGAGAGGAGTGATGGGCCCCAAGCAAAACCTAATGAGGCAAATTCTATTAGACCTTAAAGCTTGAGAAGAATCCCCGGTCTTCTGGACCCACTGGGACACCAACATCACTGCCATGGCCCAGCAGGGTGCTGCCTACGCCCAACTCTGCCAGGGCCCTACCCTGTGCCAGCTCCTGGTGGCCCCATTGTTTACCTAGGTGGAAGAAGCCATGGCCCCCAAGCCCCTGTACTCGGGGGTCTGTGATGGAAACGGCAGCCTTAATCATCCCTGGATCACCTTCTGGGGCATTCTTCCATTGTCTCCAATAGCACTTGGCTTCCGTTGACATGGCTGACATGTACTAACCTTATCACAAAGTCACTTGGCCACACCCTTGATGTTTTCATTTTTTGCAGTATGGATAGGCTGAGAATTTCCCAAACCTTTAAGTTATGCTTCCGTTTTGCTTAACAATTCCAAGCTTTAGGTCATTTCTTTCTTCCTACATTCCACTGTAAGCCCTCAGAAGGAGCCAAGCACACCTTCACCACTTTGCTTAGACATCACCTCAGCTAGATACCCAGCTTCGTCGTTCATGAGTTCTGCCTTCCACAAAACATTAGAATATGAACACACGGAGCCAAGTTCATTGGCACTTTGTAACGAGGATCACTTTTTGCCCCGGTTCCACTAACATGTTTCTCATTGGTTATCACGATGGCCTTTACCATCCCTATTTCTACCAACATTCTGTTCATAAGTATTAGTCATTATTCTCTGAGGTAACTGGGGCTTTTTCCAGCTCTCTTTTTTCGGAGCTCTCATGAGAATGTCCTTTACAGGTCCCTTCACAGCAGGGTAGGTGTTTTCCTAGCAGACATTTCAGAACACTTATCACCTCTATCCATGACCCAGTTTCGAAGCCACTTCCATATATTTAAGTACGTGTTAGGGAAACACTCCACTTCCCGGTTCCAGTTTCTGTTTTTGTCAGTGAAATATCACAAATCGGGTGGCTTATAAACAACAGAAGTTTATTTCTTGTAGTTCTGGAGCCTGGGAAGTCCAAGATCAAGGTGCAGGCAGAGTCAGTGTCTGGTGAGAGCCACTTCCTGGTTCCTGGCCATCTTTCTGCCCTGTCTTCACATGGTGGAAAGGAGGGAGAGCTCAGGCTTCTCTGACAAGGGCACTAATCCCATTCTGGAAGGCTCTGCCCTCAAGACCTAACCACCTGCCACAGGCCCCACCTCCTAATACCTCACCTTGGGGTTTAGGATTTCAACATGGCAATTGCGAGGGGGACACAAACATTTAGTCTGGGGCTGGCCCCCACAGTCTGCCCCATGGAAGGCTGACCTTATTTGTAAATAGAGTTCTTCTGAGGGGTTGCAGTGTCCTTCATCCTAGGGATGTCCAACGAAACACCAAGAAGCAGAGACTTTAACAACAGGTCCTGTATGCGTAATGTCCAGATGACCAGATCCAAAACTGGCCTTGACAGACCCCTCTTTGTGACTCTGAAATTGGGCCCTAAACATGTATAAGACCAATTAATGGTGCAGAACACTAGATAAGTGCAAGGTGACAGGTAAAAGAGCAGGAGGAGAGTACAGCTGTGGGTTGTGTGTTCCCCAGTTGGAGACTAGGTCACCTTGTCCTGATAAATTCTCTAGGTCCAAAGCAGGATGTTGCCAACGGGAAGTTGTCCGGGAAGGGTTTGTGTACAGGGTAGGATGGATGGATGAATGGATGGATGATGGAAGGCTCTACAAACAGTGGGGTCCCAGTAGCCTCTGGAAGGGGTCCTATAGGAACGGCCAGGATGGGAGCAATTAGGACCCAAATCTGGAAGTAGGCTGCCCCCTGCTGGCTACTGGAGGTGGGTTCTTGGCACAAGGCCATCCTCCGAGCTAACCTCTCTGACACTGGCTAGCTGTCGAGCTCTGCGACTGCGGGTCTTCTAGAGCAGCCCGGTGGTGGCGGAGACTGGACGCACTTCCCGGGAGTGAAACCGGAATAAAGGCAGAGGGCTGTAAGCGGAGGTGACTGGTCCAGAGGCACCCTCTGGACGGTGTAGGACAGGGTGGAGCGGGAGGGCTCTGAGAGAAGGGAGGGGGCCCCCCGGAGGCCACCGCGCCCTGAGAAACCGAGAGTCCACCAGCGGGGAAGGGGCCTCCATCCGTGGGCGCAGCGCCGGCGCAGTACCCGGAGACACCAGGTGGCTCTGTGAGGCCGGGGCATGAGGCGGGCGTTGCCTTTTCGCGGATCCCACACCCAGCTCCTTTCCCCCTTGGCCCGGGGTACCTCCGTTTGTGCAGCGAGAGGGCACTGGCCTGAAAACCCGAGATAATAAATTCCCACTGGGGGATTTGCACTCTATAGGGCCCTGCGGTATATCCGACCGTAGAATTGACCCAAGGGAAGAGAGGGAGCAAGGATCTTTGTGTTCACTTGGATATTTCCTAATTTCTGTGGTGGCTGAGCTAGGCGTCCGGAGCGCCCCCAGGAGACAACTTTTGGTGGAAGCAATGCGTTGGCTGCGGGAGTGGCTCTGATGTGGGCAAGAGCTGGTTTTCTGGATGGCGGGGCCAGGCCAGCCCAGCCCAGCCCAGCCCACTGGGGCTTGCCTCCTCCGCCAGCCCTTGCAACCTGTTCGGGCCACCTGAGGGGCTGAGGGTGGAGAAGGGCCAGATGGAGCCAGGGTGGTTAAGGGTAGAGGCGCAGGGAAGAGGGGGTTAGAGCTGCCGGTAGGCTTGGGAGTAATCTCTGAATCAAGTGCACAGAAATGCTTTAGAGGGGGCGGAAACTCAGTGAGGTCACGTTCTCCAGACCTAGATCAAGGGAAGAAGATGGTCAAGATCAAGAGAGAACACTCAGGTCATCTACTGGTTGATTCTCATTCCTTCCGCGTCTCTCCCCTCCCCTAACCTCCCCGCCCACCC